CCGCACGACGCGGAGAAGTGCAGCGGGCCCGAACAGTGCCCCGGCTGCGGCGGTCCCCACCCGGCGTGGGACCGCCGGTGCCCTATCGCGGAGGACGCCAAGCAGTGGCACCGCGCGGAAGTCAAGAACCGCCGCGCGGAGCACCGGGCCCAAGGCCACGGTCGGCCCAACGGAGCCACGTGGTTCCGGGAGGAGCGGCCCGACGGGCTGCTCCCCGCCCCTCACCCGCCGTCGGACACCGGGTCCCCTCCCACTCGTTCCGCGACCGCCGCCGCCGCCGCCCGCCCGACCGCCGCCGCCGCCGCCGCCGCCCGCCCGACCGCCGCCGCCGCCGCCGCCCGCCCGACCGCCGCCGCCGCCGCCGCCCGCCCGACCGACACCGCAACCGCCCCTCTCGCCGGGGACGACTGGCCGCCCCTGCCGGCCCCAGGTGCGACCCATAAGGTGGCCTCACCACCGGCACGCTCCGTGCCACCCGCTCCTAAGCGCACTACCGACATGTCCTCACCGGCCGCCCCTCAGGCCTCGCCCTCCGTCCGGTCCGTCACCGACACCGACACCGACACTGACGACCCCGCTCCAAGGCCGTCCCGCCTCTCCAAACACTCGAGCGGCTCCGCGGAGAGCCTCGGCAGCGGCCAGTCAGAGGCCGACACTATCTCCCTACAGCTCGACGAGCTAGACACTACCATAGTCAGCGCCCCCACCCCCTCACCGCCGCCCCACGACACTCCACCGCTCCGCCGGAACAACACCGTTCCCTTGAGCCTGGCCGACCTGGATGTGCTGGAGTCAGCCAGGTCCGGCCCGCTCACTCGGTCCGCTCTAAAGAAACAGTAATATGCCACAACACACGGAGGAATTCCTGCTCCAGTGGAATGCTAACTCTGTAGTATCCCACTGGGCGGAATTCCGTGAATATATAGTTAATAAAAAGCCATTAGTAGCCGCCATCCAAGAGACCCACTTCCTCGACACTGACTCGACTAAATATAACTTTAACCTCTTCGGATATTCTCTTTACTGCAATAACGTAAATGATTCCCCACGCCGAGGCGGTTCGGCTTTGTATGTCTCTAACAACCTTCTACATCATCAAGTTAACTTTGACTCTAACCTAAATTACGTTGCAACCACAATCAAAATTGCACAGCGAGACGTTAATGTAATCTCTCTCTACTTGTCACCTAGTATTAACGTAACGTACCAACAACTGGATCGACTCTTTGGCCAAATCCCCTCCCCTAAATTGATAATAGGTGATTTTAATGCTCACCACACTGCCTGGGGCTGCAACAACATAACACAGCGCGGCACCACACTTTACAACATCATTAACAAACATAATCTCATTTGTCTTAATGACAAATCACCAACATTCCACAGAATCATGAACGGAACAAATCAATACTCGGTAATTGATCTTGTGCTGACTTCTCCAGAAATCAGCTTGCTTTTTACCCCAAAAGTGCAAATCGACCAATACTTTAGTGATCATTATCCTATGCATATAACAGTTGAATCCTCTTCAAGGTCAACCATAAATACATACCTCCCGAAATGGAACTTTAACAAAGCGGACTGGACGACATTCCAGGACGACATAGATGAACAACTTGACATTCTTAGCTTCAACGACAATACAAACAATAACGTAAATGACAACGATACAGTAAACATAGAAAGTTTCCTTCAGATAATAGGCGAAGCAGCTGAACGTTCTGTCCCATTGACAAAGCAAAGACAGGGTTACAAACACGCCCCGTGGTGGACGGAAAACTGTCAAAAAGCAGTCGCGAGGCGCCGCAGAGCCCTACGGAAATGTAGGGCCTGCCCCTGTGTTGCTCATGAAATTCAGCTCAGGAACGAAATCAGGAACGCAAAAGAAGTCATCAACGCAGCAAAAAAAGAGTCTTGGGAAAGCTTTTCGAACAAATTCAACCGTTTCACACCCATTACTAAAGTCTGGGAACATCTTAGATGTTTCCGCATCAATAAACCAAAGATATATAAAATTCCGTCACTGATTATACAAAACACACTCACAACAGACCCACAAGCAGTTGCCACACAATTTGCAGCCCATTATGCAAACATATCCTCAAACAACAACTACTCAGGCACTCTACACAACAACCTCAGCACCACCCTATCAACACTCACGTTCCAATCCGACAACACAGAACATTACAATCACCTATTCACCCTATATGAACTACAACATGCAATCGTAAAGTGTGGGAATACTTCGGTAGGCCCGGACAAACTGCCCTACATGTTCTTCAGAAAACTAACCCCCTTTGGCCTTGAACACTTTCTCAAGGTCATCAACCAGCTATGGGTTGAAGGCCACTTTCCGGACTCCTGGAGAGAAAGTATAATCATCCCCATTCTCAAAAAAGACAAACATAGCACCGACCCAGCTAGTTACAGACCAATTTCATTGTCGAGCTGTGCCTCTAAAATCGTCGAGAGAATGGTCAACAATCGAATCAGAGTGTACCTAGAATCACAACACAAGCTCTCACAACACCAAAACGGATTTCGACCAGCACGCTCCACAGCTGACAACTTGATACACATTATTGACACGATACAACAGGGGTTTTTCCATAATAAAGTTACAGCTGCACTCTTCCTCGATCTGAAAGCAGCCTTCGACAAAGTACATCACAAAGCTATACTTATAAAAACACATAACATGGGAATACGCGGACGAATGGCCAATTTCATAAGTAATTTTCTTAATAACCGCACTTTCAAGGTCAGAGTAGGCAACACCTACTCAACCCTACATAACCTCGATCACGGCGTCCCTCAGGGAAGTCCTCTCTCCCCGACGCTCTTCCTTATATATATAAATGACATCTTTGACAATATACACAATGTAACACATAACGTACACTATTCCATGTACGCGGACGATTTGGCGGTCTGGACGTCGCACCACAATGTGAATGCGGCATACCAAAAACTTCAAACGGTACTAAACCACGTAAACAAATGGTGTGACAAGTGGGGAATGCAAATTGCTCCCCACAAGTCAGCCTCACTAACCTTTTCCAAACAACGCAGACACCCCACACCTCCACGCCCGCTCCGTTTGGGCCGGGTTGAGATTCCGCAAACAAATACCTTTAAATATCTAGGCATCACACTGGACAGGGGACTCACTTTCACACAACACATAGCAGACATCACAGGAAGGTGCACCCGGCGCCTCAACATCATGAAATGTATCTCTGGTACACACTGGGGCGCCGACAGAAAAACACTGACACTTCTATATACATCTCTGATTCGATCCATCTTGGATTATAATGCCTTTTTACTAACAAATATATCCACTACTCTCAGTAACAAGGTCGAGAGTATCCAGAATTCCGCTCTTCGCATTATTTCTGGCGCACTCCGCACTTCGCCTTCATCGAATCTCCGTGTTGATTCAAACATTCCTCCTTTGGAAAGAAGAAGAGAATACCAGCTTATAAGGTATTACACGAAAGTAATGGCAAGAAAAGATACAATACCATACGCTATACTCAGTAACCTACCAGAAAATAACATAATAACACATAGAGAATACAAGTACCAAACAATAAGAAGACACCTTAAAAACATACTTAGGGACTATAAAATAGAGACTCCAAAAGTTCTAGATAACCCTCCACTGAGCCCGTACTGGACTAGGCACCCCATCCAAACCCTCATCCTCTTCGATGACAACAAAAAAGACATGAACACTGATGAAATGAAACAACTTTTCCTCGAATTCCAAAACGACCATAAAGACCATACTTTTATATACACAGACGGCTCTCGGGCGGACAACAAGACCGGAGCCGCCTTCTATATAAAAGGATTCGCACAATCCACCCGCCTCTCCGATAACCACTCCATCTTTTCGGCCGAACTCTACGCAATCAGTGCAGCGCTTCGACACGTAATCAACAAACCTGATAGACAACTAATGATTTGTACTGATTCCAAGGCAGCAGTGCAATCAATCGCAGCGGCCCATAATGATTCGCACCCAATCACGCGAGATATTAAAAGACAAATTAATCAAATCACCGACCAAAACAGAGAAGTTAAGATAATCTGGATACCCGGTCACGCGAATATTGTGGGGAATGAGCGCGCGGACAAAGCGGCCAAAGCCAGCCTCCGAGATCCCCCCAATAACTCCCTCCCATGTCCGGTATCAGATTATCTTAATGTCATTTACACGTCCTACAAAAAGTATGTCCAGTTTGAATGGGACGTAAATCCACATTACTACTTTCACCCAATCAAACCAATTATCGGACACTGGTCGACTGCTTATCAAAATACCCGGCTTAAAGAAGTAATTATAGCCAGACTTAGAATCGGACATACTAAATTGACACATGAATATATCTTTGATCAAGGCCCCCCTCCAATCTGCCAACGTTGTAACATAAGATACACAATTGAACACTTCTTGATCCACTGTCCCCAATATCAAGCAGAGAGGCAACCTATAATCCAATATATCACCCACAACCAACTTGCACTTTCAATTCCTACTCTCCTCGGCGATTCTCACCCGGATCTACTCGACTTGCTTTTCTCTTTCCTAAAGAATTCCAGGCTAGACCGATCCATATAGCACAGTCTCGCGCTCAGTTCCGTGGTCGGCCAGCCGTCGATAGCGGTTCTGGGCGCGGGACTCAATCTTTTTGATTTCCTGGACACTGGCCATGTCAATTAAGGAGCCCCGAGCTTACGGGCACCAGCCGCCGCCGCGGGGACCATTGGCACGCGGCGGAGGGCTCCTCTGCCCCCCATCTGCTTGGAGAAAGAGGTGTCGGCACTATGCCGTCCGCAACGACCCGTTTAATGGATTGTTACGTCACTGGAGTCAGCACTGAAACGTCAGTTCTCTAATCATACCAGTCAGCACTTGGTGGGGGTTTTGTAGGAGCCCCGAGCTTACGGGCACCAGCCGCCGCCGCGGGGACCATTAGCACGCGGCGGTGGGCTCCTCCCCCAACTCCTTGGACACATGATTTTCTCTTGGTTTTTCTTGGTTTCTCTTGGTTTCTCTCGTGGTTTCATCGTAATTGTTTTTGTTTCCATTGTTCTTGTTGTGCCGTGATTTCGTCTATGTTTGCGAGCGCGCGCGTTTGCGTCCCTCCGGCGGCGGCGGCGGCAATCGGCACCTGCCCATCCCTCTCGCGGTTCTCGACAGGGATCCCTCTTAAAGGTTGAGGCCCACTCGAGACACATAGCTCCACAAACACACTTACACATTAGCGATATAACGTAACGTAATATCAAAGCAAAGGGATTTTTCCTGTGCAATTTGGCAAAAGCGCACAGGTTTTGCCCTCTAAGATAGGCACCAGGTTTTTCTAGTTAGGACTTTCCTGGTGGAACTCACAACACAACAACATCACACATTACAACACTACCACATTTCAGCATCAAGATTCAGCAGCAAGAAATGTAAGTACTCAAAATCCCTCTCGGCACTGCCACTCTGGCACCCTTTCTGGCTTTCCCTTGCACTTGCTTCCACCGGACGTCACATGAGCCGGGCTAACGTAAACTTTGTTCTTAATATTGCCTTGGGCCGGAATAACATAGCCGGCATTAAAGTAAAGTAAAACGGAAGATCTGGCTAATTGCCAGCTAGTAACTTCCCCCTACCCCGACCAGGGCCTCGGCCTGTCGGGAGCAAAATTCAAAAAAAAAAAAAAAAAAAAAAAAAAAAAAAAGCTCTGTGTTGTGTTGTTCGGGATCGCAGTTGTTAGAGCAGTATGCTTTATGCGTCGTACGCTGACAGAACGCTGGTCGTACACAAGTCATGTGTTTCCTTTCGCCCCTAATGGGTTACTGCGGTACCTATGCAGTTGGAATGTATCTCGATTCTCGAGACACTAACTGGTCGCACTTGGTTGTGAAAATGACACTAGCTGGTCGCACTTGGTTTCAAGCTGCGCTTGGAAATGGTGCAATATTATTTGCATTTTGCAATGCAATTTTATTGCCGTAACCGTATTGGTAGATAGTGTCAGAAGTTGGCCATTTGATGCGTTGTCACTTGTCAGACGCTGTTGCCTTAGTACTGACAAATTGATGGGCCGCGTTTGTGTTCCTGTTAAGAAACGGATCTCAATATAAGGTGATTCAGAGGTAGGAACCTGAATGCATTCGTTCAGACTTTTCATTTTATGGGGATGCACTGTTTCATGAGCAAGAACGAGCATGGCTCTCGTTGAGTGAAGCGGAAGCGCAATCGATATTTGTTATCGTGTTTGTAGACTGTGGCCACATTTACATCACTATTCAACTCCACGCACCAGCATTATTTAAAGTGCTTGAACCTATACTTCATTTCGCTAAATTTCGGGGTCGTCAACCTACGGTCCATGGCCGTTACGTTTGGCCAATAACTAGATTTTATACATATTAACTGGTTCATATAATCACAGCATGATGCCCCGGACCATTTTTATTTGATTCACTGATAATGAATGTATCCCAGTACCGCACAAACTGAGACTGAAACTGGACAACTCGCTTTTCGAGGTTCAGGTTCATTATCTTCAGATGTTATGGTATGGTAAGCATTTAATGTCCGAAGAAAATGGTCAGCGTTAGCAGTGCTAGGCGGGTATTATGAGCTTTCAGTTATTTCAATATTTGTTTAGGCTATTATTATTGTGGTATCTCCTGTCAATTTCACGCGGAATATATAGTATTATCTATACAATGGCGGTAACTACATATTTTCTGCCGGTTACTGTTATTATCATTGATTCGTAATATTTCGCTACGAGCGTGGCTCGATTCACATTGTTATTATATTGGCATTCAAGATTTAAGAATAAACATCTTTTAATGCATTCCAATTCCATCAAAATGTCGATATGCAAAAAAAAGTTCTAAAAATTGCAGCAGTTTTGTGAATAAAAAATAGCTGTAAAATAGACCTGTGTAACTTCAACAACAGTGCGCCGAAAAACGTCTAAAAACGCGTAAACAAAAACTAAGATGTTTTTTTTTTTTTTTTTTTTTTTGAATTTTTCTCCCGACAGGCCGAGGCCCTGGTCGGGGTAGGGGGAAGTTACTAGCTGGCAATTAGCCAGATCTTCCGTTTTACTTTACTTTAAAGCCGGCTATGTTATTCCGGCCCAAGGCAATATCAAGAGCAAAGTTTACGTTAGACCGGCTCATGTGACGTCCGGTGGGAGCAAGTGCAAGGGGAAGCCAGAAAGGGTGCCAGAGTGGCAGTGCCGAGAGGGATTTTGAATACTTACATGTCTTGCTGCTGTATCTTGATGCTGAAATGTGGAAGTGTCGTAATGTGTGCTGTTGTTGTGTCGTGAGTTCCACCAGGAAAGTCCTAACTAGAAAAACCTGGTGCCTATCTTAGAGGGCAAAACCTGTGCGCTTTTGCCAAATTGCACAGGAAAAATCCCTTTGCTTTGATATTACGTTACGTTATATCGCTAATGTGTGTGTGTTTGTGGAGCTATCGCCTTCATCCACTCCCGGGGGCCATGGATGCAAGCCACCTAGGCCGCGCCCGGGGTGTCCGGCCAGATAGCTTGTGTCTCGAGTGGGCCTCAACCTTTAAGAGGGATCCCTGTCGAGAACCACCTGCCCACGGTGGGCAGGTCCCGATTGCCGCCGCCGCCGCCGGAGGGACGCAAACACGCGCGCTCGCAAACGTAAAGGAATCACGGCGCAACAAGAACAATTGAAACAAAGACAATCACAATGAAACCACGAGAAAAACCAAGAGAAACCAAGAGAAAATCATGAACTCGGGGAGGGGAGCCCACCGCCGCGTGCCAATGGTCCCCGCGGCGGCGGCTGGTGCCCGTAAGCTCGGGGCTCCTACAAACCTCCACCAAAAGCTGAATGGTATGATTAGAGAACTGACGTTTCAGTGCGGGGACCTGTGTCGTAACATTCCATTATAACGGGTCGTTGCGGACGGCATAGCGCCGACACCCCTTTCTCGAAGCAGATGGGGGGGGGGGGAGGAGCCCACCGCCGCGTGACAGTGGTCCCCGCGGCGGCGGCTGGTGCCCGTAAGCTCGGAGCTCCTAAATTGACATGGCCAGTCTCGAATTCTTCAGAGATCAAACAGATTGAGTCCCGCGCCCAGAACCGCTATCGACGCTTGCCGACCACGGAACTGAGCGCGAGACTGTGCTATATGGATCGTTCTAGTCTGGAATTATTCAGGAAAGAGAAAAGCAAGTCGAGTAGATCCGGGTGAGAATCGCCGAGGAGAGTGGGAATTGAAAGTGCAAGTCGGTTGTTTGTGATATATTGTATTATAGGTTGCCTCTCAGTTTGATATTGGGGACAGTGGATCAAGAAGTGTTCAATTGTGTATCTTATATTACAACGTTGGCAGATTGAAGGGGGGCCTTGATCAAAGATATATTCATGTGTCAATTTGGTATGTCCGATTCTAAGCCTGGCTAGAATAACTTCTTTAAGCCGGGTATTTTGATAAGCAGTCGACCAGTGCTTAACGATTGGCTTGATTGGGTGAAGATAGAAGTGCGGGTTTACGTTCCATTCGAACTGGATATGTTTTTTATAGGCCTCGTGAATCACGTTAAGGTAATCTGATACCGGGCAGGGGAGGGAGTTATTGGGGGGTTCGCGGAGGCTGGCTTTGGCCGCTTCGTCAGCGCGCTCGTTCCCCACAATGTTCACGTGACCGGGTATCCAGATTACCTTAACTTCTCTTTTTTGATTGGTGATTTGGTTAATTTGTCTTTTAATGTCTCGCGTGATTGGGTGTGAATCATTATGGGCCACTGCGATTGATTGTACTGCGGCCTTGGAATCAGTGCAAATCACCAGCTGTCGATCTGTTTTGTTGATTACATGTTGGAGCGCTGCGTTAATCGCATAGAGCTCAGCCGAGAAGATGGAGTGGTAATCAGAGAGGCGGAATGATTGTATGTGTCCTTTTGTGTAGAAGGCGGCTCCGGTCTTGTCCGCCCGTGAACCGTCTGTATATATAAAAGTATGGTTTTTATGTTCATTTAAAAAAATAACTGCACCCGGTTATTGACCTTTGGCAACGAATACCGGCGCAGGGCACCGCCCGCCACAAGGATTCACCAAATTTATTCTTGCAAGTCGGGCGCGTGCAACCATTTGTCGTATTAAATTTTGGTGGGGGTGCGCTCGGCGGTTTGCACGTGGCGGGCGCATCTCTGCGGGATTTTGGCCGCGGCCGGCTTCGAGCAGACTGCACGTGCCGTCTGCTCGAAGGCTCAGTTTCTTCGCTTGCAAAACTGACCGAAATCAGAGCCGGAAGGTCACTGACGTTTGGCAATGAATACCGGCGCAGGGCACCGCCGGCCAAGAGGAGTCAACAAATTTATTCTTGCAATAACTCGGCCGCTACTGGGCCGATTTTAATGAAAATTGATTTATTACGCTGCGCGTAATGCTGTCCCTCTAGTACTATGTAATATGTATCATAACAGCTTGTGTGCAGTGATGGAGCTCGCAGCTGGTAGTCCTATGGAATCGGACCGTGTGCGTGTCGCACCCATGCCGGATGGCATCGTGGACACGGAAAGTGGACACTGGACAGTTTGTTTGCAAGTTGTCCTCCAGAGTAACTGCAGGGCAGCTCGCCGCCTACTTAGGCTACTCGCGTGTTATTGGTGTTTTGTTTGTTGTCGCGTCGCACAAGCGACGCTGAATAAATAGGTACGATGATGACAGCTATACCTATCCGACTATAGCGCACGTTTTAGTGAGTAGGTAGAGGTAGAGCTGTGAGAAATGAACGTCACCCAATTCAACGGTTTAATGTTCCCCCATCCCATTATTTCTATCCATACGTCTATTGGCAACCGCTACAAGTTCAAATGTCAATGTGAACGATGCATCGTTTTCCCGTACCGTATCATCGTGCCTATGCTGAAAATCTGCACCGGCAGTATTCTAGCCGCTCGTGCTTACGAACGGGCAAATTGTCCATGGACTCACAGCTGCGCGGGTCATGCGCAGCGCCTCGCCGACTGAGCGTAGCCAGGCGACAAGCCAGCCCGTCACCGCAAGAACGGCGCTGCCTCCCCCCTCCCCCACTCCTCCCGACCCGGCGTCCCCCGACCGGCGCGGCATTCCACAGGCCACAATAGTGACTCCCCTCCCTCAGCTGACCCGTCCTCAGGTGCGGTGCGTGCGGTGTACACTGGACAAATACCTCTGCCGGGGCTGACGGGGTCCATGTTTGAACAAGGGATTAAGGGAAGCCTTCAAACATCTCAGACGGAGTTTTCGCCGAAACTACAAGCTAGCGCCATCCACCGGTGAACGGCGGTACTAAACTTCATTCGCTAGTTCCCGAAACGACACACCATGAAGTAAAAGTCTAATATCTTGAAAACCGGTGAATATTTTTCGGTGAAATTTGGTAGATATTCGTTTTCGCTCTTTCTGAACCGAGCGACATCACTTTCATGCCAATTCATAAACTTTTTTGAAGGTGGGAGGGTCCCTTTAACATAGCACAAGTAAGTCACAGTAATTGAAATAGGCCGGTGGTAATATTGTCACACGAATGCAGCACGAACACAGATACGGCCGATTAGACGGCCGGCAGCGGGCAGCCGCTGCCAATATTCTTCAGGATAAGGTTGGGGCCGCTGTCGCGTGGCTGTCAGCTGTTGTGCCAGGCGGTCGTGCTGACATGCCGGTGGGCGGTAGCGGTATT